ATCACACTGCTGTGGGTCCGCTTATATAGCCTTGCGCTGTTGCTAGTGTGACGTGGCGGATAGCATAGGACGCCGTTGCTAGCGTGACGTCACCGCTGTTGATTAGCATTGCGTAGTTGCCAGGTTACGGGGCTCGGCTATCTTCGGCTCCGCTCGGCTCTCTTCGGCTCCGCTCGTGACGTCACCGCGCGCAACGCATTGCGGGGTGATTACTCGCCTATTACCGCGAGCGTTACGTTNTCAGAAGCGGTTGGATAGGAATCACACTCCCTCATAGTGACAGTATAATGATTAAATGAATAATGAATTTGAAAGGATGTGACCTATTTGAGCTTTTACATTTGCCTGTGGGGAGTGACAAAAACCAAAATAAACCTCATTCAGGACAATGAGTGTCAAAGCTGAGATTCAAACCGGTCATCCTTCAAATGCAATTTTGAAGCATTACCGTCTGAGCCATTCTACTTGGTGAAATGCATTTCAGAGCACATAAAAGGTAAGGTAAAGTTGTCCCAGTGCCTAATTAAGCACTAGTCCATGAAAATGTATTCAACCACTTGGTCATCCAGCCCATAGCCAGTTGCTATATCAACTGCACTACCCCAACTCCATTCTTCTGAGCACATAAAGTACATATTTACACCAAAATCGTGGCCTCCGTAGTCTATGGGTAACGTTCCCACCTCATGACTCAAGGTACGCAGGTTCAAAGGAGGTCATGGAATTTTTAAGGGCGGAAAAATTCAGGGAACAAGTCCTCTGGGAGGGACTTTAAGCCGTGGGTCCTGTGTCATAGATTTACGGCACATAAAAGATCCTCATGTCTCTAGGAGACCTCTGAGCAAAATTAGGCAACAAGTTTCCCACCCAAGTAGTTTCCAATGCCTCCAGTAGATGGGGAAGTTATCGGGTACCACTGCCAGAAGAGGGCCAACCTCGCTGGCAGAAAGGGGAGATGGCGAGCACCAGTACCAGTAGGGTATGGCAACAGTAGAAATTAAAGGGGGACGTACAACAGACTACTAGTCACGGTGCATGGGGAAACCCACCCCTTCTAATACTGAATACTGACTGAATACACCAAAATCAGAACTACTTTCTATGTAAAATTACATTCATACAATGGTTCTGCACTTCCAAATACATATTCCTACCATGAGGTCAGCAAACAGCTGTTACAGCTGCAATAAACAAAACTGGAAATCGTGTGCTCCACAATGAGGTACTAAATTACCTGTGGCATTCTTTGAAGTTTCTTAAACATATTTAAGAACAGAAATAATGAAATGAAAATTAGTAAAAGTCTACCAAACTGAACTTAAATTAAATCTGTGGAAAGTTTAAGGAATTCATGGAAAATTCCATTTATCGCTTTATGTAAACTAAGCTTTACTATGAATCAATATGGCAATTCTTCAAAATTGTCCACAACTTTTGGTGGACATCTTGCATGCTGAATCTCACGAAAATCTGTAAAACTGTTTATGGGAAATACAGAAAAAACCGTTTATGGAATTATGCAAATTAGGCTGTATTATGGATCAATATTGTTCACATAAGACTTGGTTGGCAACTTTCAGTGGAAGTCCATGGTAGTGAATTTCAACAAAGTATGTGGAACTCTTCAGAGGATACATGGAAAGGTTCATGTATGGCAATAACTATGCCAGGCCTCAGTCCTGATGAACATAACTGAATAATGGAAAAGCTAAACAAAATTTTGTGGTAGTCTCCCATATCAAATTTCAGCAAAATCTGGGTAAGGGTTCACGGAATGCCTGGAAAATTCTGCTACTGTCTTACATAAACTAAGCTCTGTTACACAGTGGCAAGGCTGAAAAGCAGAACTGCCTGCAACTCACATCAAATTTCAACAAAAAAATCTCTGGAATAGTTTATGGGAAACATGGAAAAGTTCATTTATGGTCTTATATAAACAAGGCTTTATTATGGATCAACATGGATGAAAACTGGAACTACCCAATAACTTTTGATGTCTCCTATATTGAATTTGAAGAATATCTGCAATGATTTAGACACTTAACAAATGGATAGATAGGTCTTTCACATAATGCATTCTTTTTTCCCTTCTGTATGTCTCTCTGTGCATCCCTCCACCCTATTAACTTTGGATGGCTGAATCA